TAGTTATTATACCCCAAAGCTCACCGTATAATAGTATAGGCACTGTCTCTTATACACATCTAGATGTGTATAAGAGACAGGGATAATGTAACATGGGCTGATACTGGATATTCTAGCAACAACAATGACGATACAGGTGAACATTCAAAGAACATGCCGGATAATAAAATATTTAACACTGAAAGCGATATAGCATACAGGGTACATGATAATTTTGTATATCTCGGTGTTAAAAATTTACCAAACAATGAGAGTGACGGTGTGTTTTCGTTTGAAGCAACAAAATGTGCAATAGGTTCCAGGTCTGCAATTGTTGTGACATCATCATTGGGTGAGTACCAGCATTACTTTCTTTTTTCTCCAAATGGAATCCATTCATTTATTTATCTTAAGTTGGTGGAAATTAACAATTAATCTGTTTTAATATCTGTCTTGAATTTTTTCCACTTGTTTTATTGAAGGTTGAAAATATTTACAGAAACTATAGAAGTTAAAAATAGAAGTTTTATTGTGGCAAAAGCAGATTCGCCAAACCTAATGGTTGTCTCGTTAGCAGAATCAATGTCATAAAAGCATTAAAACAAATATTAGAAATATTTGTATTGAATTTCATTACAGATCAAGTTTGTGTTTAATCAGTAATTGTCGATTAATTATTGGGCATCTAATCCAATCCAATATAGTTATTTATATAGCGCCTTTCTTTGCAGATATGAAGCGCTATATACATTTATGACAACTTTCAATACACATTGGTACAATGCTGATTAGTGACAGAGGGCGACATTATAAAAGGACAAGTTATTATTATAATAATAATAACTTCAGTTCAGTTGAAAGCAGTTTCATATTTGACTTCCGCTGTAGAGATGTTTTTAATATTGCACTAATTGTGTATACAGGGTTTGAAAAGTTTGCAACCACAAAACCAGTGGTTGGAGGCATCCACATATCCCCGGAGGAAATTTTAGGGGAAATTTATTTTTTGTGCTTTTTATATGCATTGTGCACTGAGGTAATATAAGGAGAATTGTGATATATAGTGTTCAGATGATATTTGGTGCTGAAGGCAATTTACCAAGATTTTAATTTTGTGGTTAGAGGCACAGGTTTCTCCAGTCCCTCCCCAGGCATGTGTGCATAATATATTGAACCCTAGATGATGTTTGATATGGTAATTGGCTGTTTGCATGGTCTGGCTACAATTGTTACATCCTTTGGCATTCACATTTGATGTCCAGGAGATTGGGGGCGCCCTAGAGGTAAATTGACATACATGGCATGCATATTGTTCAGTATCCATCCATAGGGTGGAGGTATGGCCCCTATGGAATGAATATTTATTCATGCATTTATTCCTTCATGTATTTCATAATGAAACAACAACAACAGACATTGTTGTTATACAAATATACAAAGAATGTATACAAACAATATTATTATTTTGTCATAATATTTAATTTGTATGTTGTTATTTATGACATTCAAAATGCTCAATTTTCATTCACTTTACATTTCCAAGTGAAAACAAAAGGTTAACACTCAGGTGGTGGAGAAAACGTCCTGAATAGATAGTCATGTGGCTGGCTGCAGCATGCTAGACATTGTACAAAGAATACTTATTTTGTCATAATATTTAATTTGCATGTTGTTATTTATAATATTTAGAATGCTTTATTTTAATGAAAACAACAAAGATTAACACACAGGTGGAGAAGATGTCCTGAATAGGTAGTATAGAAGCACGCTAGGCATATGTGTGACATACGCTGAACATTCGTTGTGTACGCTAAAAATTCATGTGGTGAATGCTACGAACGTGCTGTCATTTGTTAATATGGACGTTGGTAGTATGATCAGCATTCTTTCCTTATTAGTTGGCGGTCGTCTTTTGTGCCAGGATGTTTGTTTTTTGCCAAGGATTTTAGCATATCTGAACTTCTAAGAAAAAAATCAGTACGCTCGGTATAAGTTAGCTCTAATCGCTACTGTGTGACAGGGCCATGAATTAGACCAAAGTAATGGCATATGCCACATGTATTTTTCTCTCCTACCTACAACATCAAATTAGTTTAATATTGACAAACATGAAATCAGAATAAATGACAAAATACTAAATGTTTATCTTGAGAATGTGTTTTATTTACTCTATTGTCTTCACATTGTTCTACTTTAAGCTATTTTACTTTACAATCTTATTATACCAAATAATGATATTTTTACCATTTATGAACAATTTATTTGTCATCACAGCAATTGCTGCCATCATTATAATAGTACCTGGATGATACCAGGAATACGTTGACATCGGATAAATTAATATCAATGAAAATATCAGAATTAGGAGCATAAGAATGATAAACAAATACATATTATTTCTTATTTGCAGAGATTGCTGAAGCTTTTTATTTTCTTCTTTACATTTTTCCAGCTCATTTTTTAGGTAGTTAGCCTTCTTTTTTTTCTTTTTCTGAACTCTATTTAATTCCATAATTTCATCATTTTGTTCTTTAAGTTTCTTTTTATCGTCAGCTAAAGTTTCTCTCATTAGAATATCTTTGTCCTTTATTTTCCTTATAAGTTTTTTATTATCCTTTGTTAATTCCTTCATAGTCTCTTCAAGACGTATCTTTAAATTTTGTAGCTCCCTAATATCATTATCTTTCTTTTTTCCTGCATCTTTCATTTCTTTCAGCTTTCCCAAAAGACCCTCATTAATTTTGTATTGATATTGAGTGTTATCTTGACTGTTATACAATTTAATATTAATGTGGTCTTTTTCGAGAAGAATATCTTTCACTTTTTTCTCTAATTTGTGTATTTCATTGAGAAGTCTTAAGGATTTCTTTTCTTTTATAATTATTAAATCATCTCTTTTCTTAATTTCACCATTGAATAGCATCAGTGATGCATCCTTTTCTCTCATGGCAATTTTTAATTCCGCATTTTCTTGAGTAAGTTTTAGTAGCTTTATTTCATCATCCCCATCCACTTCGTGAGTGTCGGTGCATGTCAAGTTCTCTCCCTTTTCTTTCAATTGGTAATGATTATCATCCTGGTTTTCTGGTGCAGTTCGTCTGTCCCCTTCTTCTGTTATCAACTCCATTATTCTTGTCTCACACACTCAGCTTAGATTCTGCTTTTTGCTGATTCCTCTTTAAAAACCTATTTAAAAAGATATATAAATGAAGCCTTTTAATTGACACAGATAATGTGTTTTATTATCCAAAATAATTTAGTTTTAAAACAAATTTTGGTTTTATTTAAATTTTAATTACTATTTATAACTTACTATCAGAAAATACATATTTAATACTAAAACTAATAAAGATTATTTCATTCATTCCATTTATTTCCTTATTCAATCTTAGGATTTACTTTTTAAATTCATAATTTTATTTCCTTGTTGCTGCTTGTTGCTTATGCCATCATGGGGTCCAATTTTATTCTAAACGATTATACAATCAGTGGCGGTGCCAGCTTCTGAAATCTAGGGATGGGGGGAAAGTGAGGGGAAAGGTACGATTTGGAAGGGGAGGGGGAAAGGTCCCTGACAAGCAAAGTGGGCGTGGTCAGGTGTCAACTAAAATGTTTCAAAAGTGGTCCAGGCGGCGGAGCCCCCTAAAAATATAACAATTTAGTGGTTTCAGAGGTTTGGTTTAATCCATCTTATAGATAGAGAGTCTACTAATATATAGAAAATACATATAATGTTTTTCTTTTCCCGACAAATTGTGGTTTTTGTTCTTTTCTGGGTAAGCAAACTGGGGCGGGGGGAAAGAACATTTTCTGGGGGAAAATGCCCCCCACACACCCCAAAGCGCCACACAAAGCACACGAAATACAATGCAATCAAAAGGCAAATGAAATATGGTCATGATGACATCACAACATGACCATATATAGGCACATCATGACCATATATAGGCAAAGAAAATTTGATAGTCTGGATTGAGCTTTAGGTTTAAGGTCTCTGCTTCCTATTTTACATTGGCTTCACATAGACTTCACTTTTATATTAATTAGATTGTGCTGTACCTAGTGATAGCAATAATTATTTACACTAAGCTGTATCTAATGCTACTTACCTTAAATGTCCTGATTTTTATATTCAAGGAACGTGTGAATAAGTCCTTCACTTTCAGCAAAAACTGTATCGCAAACTCCTTCCTATTTTTGTGTTTATATGTAGGTTTTCTTCATTTGTTCCTTTGGTCTTTACTGATTCTTCTAATAAGCTATGAAAAATACAGATACGAATTTAATGAGAAAGTTTATTTCATTATACTTGATTTCTTCAAAAAGGTCTTGGACTCCTAAAGAAGTTAAGCTTCAAAAATACTACCATGGAAAATTAAACAATACAGTAAAAGAAACACTGAATATGATAATTAACAAAATATGGTTGAGTGCAGCAATTTATCTTCTATAATGTTACTATTTAACTATAACAAAAACTATATTATTGTTTTAATATTTAATAATCAAATAATTGTACATTTTGGGTTGATTTAAAGTTTTTAAGGGCCATCTGTTTTTCTTACTAAGTTACTAGATGCATAATATTTCAATGTAAACATATACATTGCTAATGTGTTATACTTAGTGTTAAGAATCATTTGATAAAATGGGCCAAATTAAGTCCACTTACCCCAGGGTAAAGTGTGATATTTCTAAAAATGACTTTCACAATCAACATGTATCTCCTTCCTATATTATTTCCTTCTTATTTGTAGTTTTTTCTATCTTTTTTGTAGTTAAGAAATTGATTTGATAGAACGACGATGCTGTGACGTTTTGAAAATTCAGTCGGTATGAACTGGTTTGTGGGAAAAACCAGAATCTTGCACACGGCCCTATTTGACCTTTTTGGGGGTCAAAAAGCAAATGACAGCGGTATGTGCGTTATACTTTTTCAAGTACATAACTGTAAACTGATGAAACAAAACATTATTGAAATGTAAGATAGGACAGGTTGTTATTCTCATTCTGTATGTTTGATGGATTATAGCGTTTTGTTGACAACTATGTTATTGTAATGTATGAACCTTTTATGAATAGACATTATAAATTATGACAAGGTTCAATAGACATTGGTACAATACTGATTAGTGAGAGAGGGCGACATTATACAAAGAGTTATATTGTCATTTGCATGTTGTTATTTTCAACATAGAGAATGCTGAATTTAATTCACTTCAGTTCAGTTGAAAACAATTTCATAATTGATTTCCGCTGTAGAGAAGATGTTTTTAATAATTAGTACAGAAAGACACTACTTTTGTATACAGGGTTTGAAAAGTTTGGAACCACGAAAGCAGTGCTTGGAGGCATCTACATGTCCCCAGGGGAAATTTTAGGGGGATTTTTTTTTTATACAGTGTATACTAGGGGGAATTGCGCACTGAGGTAATATAAATAAAATTGTGATATATAGTGTTCAGGTAACATATACTGTGCTAGAGGCATTTTATCCAGATTTGTATTTCATGGTCAGACGCACAAGTTTCCCCTCCCTCCCCAGGTGTGTGTGCATAATATATTGCACATTAGATGATGTTTTATATGGTAATTGGCTGTTTTCATGGTCTAACTACAATAATTGTTACATCCTTCGGCATTCAATTTGATGTCAAGAAGATTGGGGGCGCCCCAGAGGTAAATTACATACATGTCATGCATATTGTTTGGTATCCAGGCATAGGGTGGATAAATGCATATTCATTCATTTATTCCTTCATGTATTTCATAATTCCATATGAAAAAAAACTATTACAATGTATATTCCATTGGTATTTTAAGCATAACTACAATTATTTGGTACTATATAGTAATGATAAAATTAAATAGATAAATATTAAAATGAAAATTTCAAAACCTGCTCAAATAAGCTATAATATATGTGTTTCTGTCTGGGTGTGTGTTGCGATATATGCGTTTGTGAGAGTAACAAAACCAACCCTTCTTTGCTGACCATACCTATTCTCAGTTCCCCAGTAAGTTAAACGTCAGATTAGTAAAAGAAAAATGTGCAATTGAGGTTGAAAAACTTCTTTATTTCAAGTCAGTTTCTTTTTTTTTTCCTGACAGATGCTCTTTTGAATGTTATCAATTTAGAGTTACAATATATCTATTAGACAGAACCATACTTATCATACCAAATGCTAACATTTAACATCAGCATTTTGATGATGACAACAACAAATGCTACCATTACCATTAAATTTCCTGGATGATACCAAGAGTACAAAGACATTGGATAAATGGATATCCAAGAAATAAACACAATTATGAAAGTTAAATACATGTTATCTTTCTGTTTCTGATCATACTGAGCCTTCTTATTTATTTGTTTATATTTTTCCAGCTGAATGTTTAGATGGTTCACTGTATGAGTTAATTTCTTGGTTTCCCTTTCCTTAACTCTCTTTACTTCCTGAATTTCTTCCATGTTCTCATTAATTTCTTTTTTATAATCATCTGACATTTCTCTGTTTTGAATATCTTTCTCTGCTAGTTGCTCTTTTAGTTTTTCATTATCATTTTTTAAATCTTGTATGACTCCTTCATTAAACTTATTTACAGCTCCTAGCTCTTTGATTCTATTATCTTTATTTTTTACTTCATCCCTTAATTTCTGCATTCTATACTCAAGGCTTTCAATATTTTTATCATTTTCTTGACATTTTATCAATTTCATTTTATTACTCTTTATTTCCCAATTTTTTTCTCTTAACAATTTTTCACATTCCATCAATTTTTGTCGAAGCCATGTGTTTTGCTCATGGATTTGACTTATTAATTTTTCCCGTTGTTCAATTTCATCTGCCTGACATTTCATTAACTCATATTCATATTTAGACATCATTTTTAATTTCATATCATTTTCAAATAATTTCTGTAGCATCTCATCATGAAGTTTTTCTTGTTCTTGAACTTTTTCTGGAGGACCAGTATCTCAGTTTGAGGGACCGCTTTTCCAGCTTCACCGCACTTGATTGTCTCCTCTATCTTTTCCAATTTATAATGATTGTTATCCAGGTTTTCTTGTTGAATGATTCTGTTTCCTTTGCTTCTTGTCCACTCCATCTATATATATATATTATAGATAAATTTTTATATATCTTAATATATTATCAACTTTTTTTCATTCATATTTGGTAACCACTTGGGTGTATTTACAGTATACTATGCTTCCAATCTGTTTAAAATTGTTGATTCAGATAATGGATATATAGATAATAATTTTTTACCTGGCACTTCCATATTTTTCAAGCTGAACATGGGAACACTTTCATCTTGTTGCAGAGTAAGGTAATCTAAAAAAAAAAAAACCGAGCCCTAGAATACCATTATTATGGAAGTTGGAGACAAAAGTGGCTCTGTAGTATTAAAATGTTGAGATAATATGGAAAATAGTAAATGCACAGTAGGAAATCTTAAGTAATTGTTACCCTTCCTTCCTTTTAATCTCAAGTTGTTCATCTGAAAATTTATGTTTCAATGATGAATCAGTGAAGAGACATAAAGCCACCCCTACACTTGTACGATTTTTGTCCGCGCAATACGTTGTGGCAAGACTTGCCATTTCGGAGGTTGCTGCAGAGTGTGCACCTGTGTTTGCGGTCTGTTCGTGCACTGTACACTGTTTCGCACTGTGTACACAATGTGGGTCAAAAATGCAACGTATTTACACGCATTAACACGCAATGGCAATACTTTGTTTACGCATAGGTTAAGTATTGTTCGCGCATGGCTCAGGTCTACCGTACTACATTGTCGCGCAGCATCACATACAACATGCATAATTCCCGCTGTCTTCCCGCATTGCCCCGATGACTTGGTGCATGTATAAAGTCGTCGTGGCAATTTTTGGTCAGGCTTCGTCTGGCTTGGCGTCACATTATACATATAGCTTAGGTTTTTCTTCGACTCGCTGTGGACAATTCAACATGCTGAATCCCAGATCTATATCTGGACATATTTGTGGACTATTCTTGAAGAGCAGGAGAAAAGGCAGAAAGAGGAAGAGCATTCTTAATTGACATCACAATCGGCAGTGTTGGTGCCGAGTTTGCTCAATGTTCATGCATGGTTCACACATATGGTACGAACATTGATATGTGCCAAATTTTTTAACGTTTAAAAATTCTTTCTACGACATGACGCGCACACTTCACATACCCCTCACGCTCATTCCAAAAGTCTTTAATCATTGGCACGAAAATCATGCTGCAAGTGTCTTGACTTATTCCATTAATCATAATTTGTTTTTTTTGCAATATATTATCTCCTAATGATTTTTGTATTTTGTATTACACTGCATAGCAATGGAACTTTTTCTCACCTAGTAAATGATCTCCTTTCTTAATTTCGTCTACCATAAACTCTATTAAAGCATTATTTTCTTTCAAAGCAATTTTTAATTGCTCATCTAAACCTTTCTGTTGAATTCCAAGATCGTCTTCTTTGAATTCATTGCCTTCGTTTTCCACATTGTCAGCACTGTAGTCATCTAGTTGATCTTCCATGTCTATATTAATATTCTCCCTTTCATTTTTCGATGATTTCACCTGTATTGTTCTGTAAACTTTGCTGAGATATGTCTTTTAAGAGGTTCTTTAGGTTTTGCTGATCACTGAAGGTATATATAGAATGAACGATACATTTTATTCTCTACAGATCCAATGTGATGTAAAATATATATGCTAGAAATGTCCAAGAATCTGCATCTTGACTAATTTTTGATTTATGTATTTTATGTTGGAAAAGGTATTGAAGAATTCTGCCAAATATCGAACACTAATTAAATTAAAGTAGTAATGTATTCAAGATTTCTTTATACACTCAATTTAATAATTTTTTTTTAATACCAAAGGTATTTTGCAAATGCTTAAATGTATAAACAATATTATAATATGTGATTTAATGCAAAATTTAGCATTTGGATTTGTCATTATCAGCTTATAGCCTCAATAAATGACCTAATACTTCAAGTAAGTATTCAAGCAGGTATAAGAGGAAATGTATTACATTATATGTATTTTGATATAATCACAAGCAGTAAAATGTTCAAAGCTTAAAATGCTAGCATTGTAATTTTAATAATATATGAAAACCTCAATAAAAATCAAAACATAAAAATATAAAAATCTTAAAACATTTATTATAATATACTTTGATTCTACAATAGGTAAACAAATATTAAAATTAAAATGGAAAGGCTTCATATCTCATTCCCTTGACATTGTCCGCATTGTTTTGCATCTAGAGATAGGAGTAAATCTATCTACTTACCTTGACAATGTTTGGTTGTTTCACCATCAACTTATACTACTTCTTCCTTTTTCCCTTTGTATAGGTGTTTCTTAGTCTATTATTAAATTTAAAGCGTTTTCAGGTTTGAAGCTGGCAAAATAATGACTAGGCCTATGATGTTTTCGAAATAGGTATTACAATATTGGAAAAAAACAGTTTTCTACAACTAGCACACATGGGACTGATTTTTTTTTTTTTTTTTTAAGGTAAGAACATTAAAGATGCAAATAAAATATATAAATATTAAAATATTACAGTAACTTACTCTTGTTATAATTTGTGTATACTTCTGTACATGTGGTTCTATCTATATTATAGTATACTTAGTCGCTAGAGTTTTGTTGGCAAGTATTTTATAACGAACCTATTATTACAAGACACCTTATATAAAATGGTGCATGCAGAGAATGTGACGTCAAATGCAAATAATATAAATAATAGAGTAGATTTGTATACTGCCGGTATCCATGAAACAAGATGCTAATGGTGCTTGATGTATGGAAAAATAATGCTCAATGTGTATTCTTCTATTTATTCTAGTGAAAATAACTTAATCAAAATCAATCAGTATTCTTGAATATATTAGGATATATTTCTACTGACAAATTGAAACAGTTCTCTTGTCATTAATTGATTACTGGATTACCAAGGTAAATACTACATCGCAATTGCATTTTGACTGACAGTTACGTGAGTTGATATTGGGATAATACGCAACATCAATGACATAAAAATGACACAGGATGCAATTTAAGGTGACAAAAATCACCTTCATAAAAGTTTTCATGGCAAGGTAGCCAAAATACAAACAATAATTCATTTTGATGATTTGACTTTTGAAAAACAAAGCCATAAACAACAGCAGTCCTGTTGTGCTAATAAGTAAATCTATCTAAAACAACAAGACAGTGACTCTAATCATTATCAAGAATACTGATCAATGAGAAAATCTCATATATATCCATATGTCCATATATATTTACAATAATTACAGAAGTATACCAGAAAGTAAATAAAAACCGACCAATCAGATAAAAACAAAATCACAGCTAACCAATTAAAATGAGGTAATTGAAAGTTATGTTTATAGAGTTATGTTTATATTTTATTCCTCTATATGCTTACATTAAGTAGATCACTTATTTTTCATGAATAAACAACAAATGTATTAGGATTCCTAGCTGGATTAAAACGTTGAATCTCAAAATGTCTCTGTTTCTTTTCGGAGTTACCAACTTTTTCACTTACTTAAGACTAATTAGTGGATCCTCTGCTTTTTTTATCTATCTGTTATTGTTAATTATTATCTCATTTCAACTTCCTTTGTCTCATCTCTATGATCATCTATAATCCATATTGAACCTTCTCTGTGCATATGAACATCATCCCGGATGTGACTGGGCTTTCGCTGTTTTGTCTCCAGAATTTCAGAACAGTCTTTTGTATGATGTTTGAGCAATAAAACACATCAGTCTCTTATATTGTTCTCATTGTGGGACTTTGATTGCTTTGAAACCTACTTACATTTATGATTTTTCTAATATATAAATCCCTCCTTTTAAATTCAGCTTAAGTTGTTTTTCATTCTTGTGGAAACTTTTTATAGGTACAATCACTGGTACAAATTTAAAAAACATGATATAAGATATAAATACAAACATAGATTTACAAAATAGATGTTTATGGTTGATAAAATATGACTACATTATGATTATGAAGTTGAGACTTTGTTTATACACTGTACAAGTTGAATTACATTGTCTGGTTTCCATAAAAATCACTACACACTATGGCCGACTTCTTTGGCAATGCTGATTGGTCAGGGAGCGTTTCCAATTGCGTTGGGGACAGCTATGCAGTGCAACGATTGCAGAAAAAAACTGTAGCGACAATGTAGCGACTGTATGGAAACAAAGCTTCACATTAATAATACATGGTGCCTCATATAGGCTATCATACGTCCACATTCCTACTCATGATATAAAATATAATCTGTATTTGATATAATATTTTAGGGATTTTTTTTTTTCAAAAAATTTGCATTTGTTTTTTTCGTATATTTTTTATTACATTTTTAAAAATAATTATCAATATCATCATAAAAAAATGCATATTAATCTGCATAATGATTACTATTATTTTGTATATCTGTATTTAGTAAAAAAGAAATTTTTAAAGTGAAGAATTCATCACCCTTCTTCTAATAATTATTAGCTGTTCTGTATGTATTTTTATATTTAATTCAATTTAATTCAATTTATTCATTCATCACGTTATGATCTCTAAAAAATGTTTGATAAAAGAAAGTAGCAACAGTCCTAACTAATAAATAAAAAAGTACACAAACAAGCATAATTATGCTATATACCTTTAAAAAATACTATGACACATTATACAATGAAACTACATACATATTCTTGTTTATAAAATTAAATAACATGGCACCATCTTACTTAACATACTTGTTCTCTTTCAATGATTACAGCTTTGATGTTCATAAAAATAAGACAAATGTATGTATGTTAACAAACCAAAGACTAATTACAAAAAAAAAAGTATTTCATATCGTGGTGCTATCGAATGGAATTAATTAAGCCCTGATGTACAGTCTTCCACTAATTTAAGTATTTTCAAGAACCACATTTGTATTAATAATTTATGAAACCTAAGTATAATAGTATGAACATTGTATAAATCATTAATTTACTGTTTCCTTGCTTTGTTTATTTTTATTTTCACATTTCTTTTCATAAGGAAATGTCCGATTTGAATGATTTTTTTTACCATTTTATAGGTATTATTTTACTCTCTAACACTGTATTAATACTGTAACTCAAAATCGATTTTTGCGACGAGTGACTGGTTTGGCTTGTCTTTGCCACATTTCATGAATGATGAGACAGTCAAATTTGTTTCTACATTTCTTTAAAATGCTGAAACATGACTCAATACTGCTTGGGCTGATATTATGGTCCTTAGCGTGTTGTCCTAACAGAAATCTTTTTTGTTCAGCAATACGTTGGTAGAGGTGTCGGTTTGTGTATCCGACATAACTTACATCACACAAGTCACATTTAAATCTGTACACAACACACTGCTGATTTATGATTGTCGGTTTTCTCTCTGTTTTCTTAATTTCATCACTTATCTTTCTGCTTGTGAAAACAGGAAAAATGTTTTGGTCTATTTTGTTGCATAGTTGGCATAGTTGATGCTTAACTGAGTTGGCAGATTTCTGGTCTTTGAAGGGTAGGATAATTCGGATGGGCATTTCCTTCTCGTCGACTTCATTATTACTGAATTTATTATCAGTCTCTAGAGTAGACTTTTGACATTTGAATTGTGGATGTGATGAGGTCATCATGAGGTTGTCACATTCCTCGTTGAATAAGTGGCTGGATGAGGATAGTTTGTAGGCCCTATTCAACATGGTAATTAAAAGTGTCTTTTTGTGCTTGTTGTCTACATGGCATCTATAATGTAGAAGTAATCTGGTGTCTGATGGCTTCCTATAAACGTGTGTGTGTAACTTGTTAGAATACTTAGTAATTAGTATTCCTAGGAAAGGAATAGAATTGTTCACAGCAGTTTTCATAGTGAAGTTTATGGCAGGATGAATGTTGTTGAGCAAGTCAAGAAATTGCATGGCAGATTCTGTGTTAGGCATAAATACTAGAGTATCATCAACCTATCGCTTGTAGTATTTGTGCATTTGATTGCTAGATTCAAGGCGTTCCTCTATATTGCACATTAATGCATTTGCCATAAGTGGACCTAAGGGTGATCCCATTGCTACTCCATCGATCTGTTCATACAAGTTACTTTGAAATTGAAAAAGCTGGTCTTTAGTTGCAATTTTAAGAAGAGTAATGAGGTCCGGTTTACTTAAGTTGAGTCCATATGTGACATTAAACCAGTTGTCAGTGAAAGCTTTATCAGCAATAATTTGAATTGTCTCATCCAATGGAACATTAGTAAATAAAGAGGAAACATCATATGATACTAATATGTCATCGACGTTGGTATCAGTTGAGCGAATATCATTAGCAAAGCTAAACACGTTATCAAGTGTGTACTTGTTCTGGGAGAGTGGTTTTAACTTCTCATCTAACCATTGCGCTAGTTTATAATTGTATGTCCCAGTTGCTGACAAGATAGGTCTCATAGATAACGTCTCTTTGTGTGTTTTGGTAAACCATACAAATGAAAAATTCATCAACCTACTTCAATATTAGCTGTTAGTGTGTATTTTATATTTGAGAATTTGCATGTGTCATCAGTGTTGTATTTGTATCATGTATCATTTTTATGTTAGAGTACACCACTGATGAAAAATAATGAGACTATTCTTTTCCCTGTGAACCAGTGGCGATATATATATATATATATATATATATATATATATATATATATATATATATATATATATATATATATATATATATATAATCTACTAATATGTAAAAAATACATATAATAGCACCACCACTGCTGTGAACCATACCAAATATACCGGTAGATATAATTTTCTCTAAGTTAGACCTAAATAATGGAATATCATACTTCATGTATTTTTCTCTGCTATCTGCAACATCAAAGTAGTTAAATACTGAACAAACATGAAATCAAAATAATGAGAAATACTAAATCTTTACTATGTGAAAGTATTTTATTTACTCAACTGTCTTCACATTGTTCTACTGTAAGCTGTCTATGTTCACACCTAATTTCATGTAATGTTTTTACTTTACAATCTTATTCTTTATTATACAAAATATAAATATTTTTACCAGTTATTAACAATATGATTATCATCACAGCAATTGCTACCATCATTATAATAGTACCTGGATGATACCAGGAATAAGTTGACATCGGATAAATTAATATCCCTGAAAATATCAGAATTAGGAGCATAAGACTGATAAACAAACACATATATGTCATTATTTGAAATTGCTGAAGCTTTTTAATTGTTTCTTTACATTTGTCCAGATCATTTTTTTGGCAATTAGCCCTTTCCTTTTCCTTTTTCTGAACTCTTTTTAGTTCTATAATTTCATCTGTTTGTTCTTTTATTGTTTTTTTATCTTTTGCTGAAGTTTCTCTCATTAAAATATCTTTATCATATATTTGCTTCATCAGTTTTGTATTATTCTCTTTGAAATCTTTTTTATCCTCTTCAAGAAGTTTATTTTCTATCTCTAGCTCCATAATACTATTATCTTTATTTTTCATAATTTTCTTCTTTTCCTGCAACCTATCCTGAAGGGTCTCTATGTATGTATATTGCCTTTGACAGGTATCTTGACTTAAACTCAATTTAACATTAGTTTGCTTGTTTTCCAATGTAATGTTACTTATTATTTTATGTAATTTTTGTATTTCAACAAGCTGTTTTAAGTTTTGCCTTTCTATAATACTTATTGATTCATTTTTTTTCATAATTTCATCATTGGAAAGAATCTCTGATGCATGCTTTTTTCTCAAGGTAATATTTAATTGCTCATTTTCTTGAGAAAGTTTCAGTAGCTTTATTTCATAATCCCCATCCTCTCCTGTCCACTCCATTATTCTTGTCCCACACACTCTGCTTGGAATCCGTTTTTTTGCTGATTCCTCTCTAAAAACCTATGAAAAATTTGGATAAATGAAGCTTGTTAATTTACACAGATAATGTGTGTTTATATTATCAAAAATGAATTTGTTTTGAAACATAAATTTTGGTTTTGATTAAATTTTAATTGATTAATTAAGACTAAGAAAGGTTATATCATTCATTCCATTTACTGCAAGTGCTCAAATATGCGCTGCGGCACTTATAACATTTTTTGGAGGCTTCAGTGCGGTGCTTTTTCGAAAGTGGCGCTTTTTTGAGAGCGGTGCTTATAAAAAATGTTGACGTGGTGCTTTCCATGCCCGCTCCCATGTTACCTATTTCATTTATTCCTGTAGTTCGGTAGACCTATCAGAGGTCGTATGTCATAATTAAACGTTTTAATATAAATAAATACTTGTGACTTCATTTTGTTATTTACTGTATATTGTACTTAAAAACCCTGTTTCTCAAAGTGTTTCATTAAATATGGTAAAATACTCTCTATTAAGTGCCGCGGAGCTTGTTCGAGAGCGGCGCTTAGCGAAAAAAAAATCATGTTTGGTGCAGTGCTTATCCGAGAGCAGCGCTTATTTGAGCATTTATGGTAGTTATTTTCTTTTACAATATTGTTATTGTTAGGATTACATTTTTAAATTCATAATTTAATTCATTATTTCAATTGCTGCTATCGTGGGGGAACAATTACACTTTCCTAATGCAAACATACATCAAAATATTTTAAGTTGTTAAAAGCCCTTTCATGTTCATTAAATACATGTATTGTGCCTATTAAAATATGGTCGTGACGACATCACATCATGAGCATGTAGTAAGGTCTCTGAAAGGGCTTTGCTTCCAATTTTACATTGACTTTGCATAGCCTTACTTCTATATTAACTACATAGCTATGTGCTGTAAATAGTGGTATCTGAATAATTATTTACACTAAGCTGTATCTAACGCTACTTACCTTAAATGTCTTGTTTTTTTTATATTAAGAAACGTGTGAATAAATCCTTCACTTTCAGCATAAACTGTATCTCGACCTCCTTCCTAATTTTTACTTTGTAGGTTTTCTCAATTGTTTTTATTCATCTGAATGGATAAATTCCTTTGATCTTAGCTGATTCTTGTAAAAACCTATGAAAAATACAGATACAAATTTAATGAAAGCTTTTATTTCATGATTCCATTAATATTTTCTTCAAAAGGTTCTTAGTACAACTAAAGAAGTTACTGCTTCAAAAATATTAGCATAGAAAAATAAACAGTAAAAGAAAAACTGAGTATAATAATTGAAAAATTAAAATGTATTATAATAAATGAAAATATGGTTAAGTGCAGCAATTAATCTTCTATAATGTTACTATTTAACTAGATAAAAACCAAATTAAATTATTTTAACATTTACAAATCAAATAATTGTACATTTTGGGTTAATTTAAAGTTTTTAAGGGCCATCTAATCTGTTTACAAAGTTACTAGATGCACAAGATTAAAAATGACAAGAGCTGTGTTTTGCTCAGACATTGTGAAATGGCTTCTTTCCAATGTAAATGCATACATAGTTAATGTGCTGGACCTATTCTTAGGAATCATTTGATATACTGGGCCAAATTAAAGTCCACTTACCTCTGGGTAAAGTGATTTTTTTAAGAATAACTTTCACAATCACCATTAATTCCTTCTTATTTGTGGTTTTCTCAGTCTTTTTAAATATTGATTTGATAGAACGACGGTACTGTGACGTTTTGAAAATTCAATCGGCAATAACTGGTTTGGGAAAAACCAGAATCTTGCACACGGCCCTATTTGACCTTTTTTGGGGTCAAAAAGCAAACAAGAGCGACGGTGGGTTATACTTTTTCAAGTACTTGACTATAAACTAATCAAACAAAACATTATTAAAGTATATTATTATAGGTTGTTATTCTCATTCTGTATGATTAAGGAATTATAGCTTTTTATTGACAACTATGTTATTGTATGAACCTTTATGAATAACACTATACATTATGACAAGGTTCAATAGACATTGGTACAATGCTAATTAGCAAGAGAGGGTGACATTATACAAAATTTATCATATTGTCAATTGCATGTTGACATGATAGGCATGTGTGCATGATATATTAAAACCTAGATAATTTTTGATATGGTAATTGACTGTTTTCATGGTCTAGCTAATAATTTGGCATTTCGGTTTGATGTCCAGAAGTTTTGGGGGATGGGGGGTGTAGGCGCAGTGAAGTTAATCAGCATGCATGGCATGCATGTTGTTCGGTATCCTGGCATAGATGGAGGTATGCACTCTATGGAGTGCATTATTCATGCATTTATTCCTTCATGTATTTCATAATATCATACAAAGAAAACTATTATGGTGTATATTTCATAATTGTTATTTTCATCATAACTACAATGATTTAAAAAACTTGTTTGAATAATAGCTATGTTATATGTGTGTATTTCTATTTCTGGGTGTGTGTTGGGATATGAGTTTTGTGGAGAGTCGTAGCAAAACCAACCCTTCTTTGCTGACCATATCATACCTTGTCCTCTGTTCTCCAGGGAATCAAACATCAAATTAGTAAGAGACAAATGTATACAATCGAAATAATGACAAATGATCTTTATTTCAAGTAAATTGTTTTGTTTCTGAGAAATATATTATGTTTCTTTCTTAAACATAAGCCCTCAATTTATGGTTACAATATATCAATTAGTTTTGATACCACTATACTTATCATACCAAATGCTTTTAACATTTATCAGCATGTTAAAGATGACCACAACAAATGCTACCATTATCATTAAATTTCCTGGATGATACCATGAGTACAAAGACATTGGATAAATGGATATCCAAGAAATAAACACAATTATTAAAGTTAAATACATGTTATCTTTCTGTTTCTGAGCATACTGAACCTTTTTATTTATTTGTTTATATTTTTCCAGCTCAATATTTAGGTGGTTTACTGTATGAGTTAATTTCTTAGTTTCCCTTTCCTTAACTCTCTTAACTTCCTGAATTTCTTCCATGTTGTCTTTAATTTCTTGTTTATAATCATTTGACATTTCTCTAGTTTGAATATCTTTCTCTTCTAGTTGCTCTTTTAGTTTTTGATTATCAGCTTTTGAATCTTTTATTACGCCTTCATTTAACTTATTTACAGCTCCTAGCTCTTTGATTCTATTATCTTTATTTTTTAATTCTTCCCTCAATTTCTGCATTCTATACTCAAGGCTTTCGATATTTTTATCATTTTCTTGAAATTTGATCAATTTAATTTTAGTATTCTTTATTTCCCAATTTTTTTCTCGTAACATTTTTTCACATTCTGTCAATTTTTGTTGAAGTCTTGTGTTTTGCTCATGACTTTGGCTTAACAATTCCTCCCGTTGTTCTATTTCATCTGCCTGATTTTTCAATAACTCATATTCATATATAGACATACTTTTAATTTTTGTATCATTTTCAGATAATTTCTGTTGCATTTCTTGATGTTCATTTTGTAGTGCCTTTATCAGTTTTTCTCGTTCTTGAACTTTAGTCTGGAGGACCAGAATCTCAGTTTGAGGGACCGCTTTTCCAGCTTCACCGCACTTGATTGTCTCCTCTATCTTTTCCAATTTATAATGATTGTTATCCAGGTTTTCTTGTTGAATGATTCTGTTTCCTTTGCTTCTTGTCGACTCCATCTTTCTTGTCCAGTACCTTCTGCTTGGATTGCAAAATTGATAAGGATGTGCAGCTTTACTGATATTGTTCTAACCTACAAAACATAAGAATAAATTACATAACTTTTTTGTTTCCTCAGGTCATCTGCTATTTTCAATGTATTGTTATATCTAATTCATTTATTGATTAATTAGTTAAATATTAATTTATAGTATTATTTTAATCTATTAATTATACAATTTCTATATGATTTAAAGACATATTGCCCATGTTATTGTAATGAACTTGGATTACAAAATTACATATTTTAGTTATTTAAATAGGATAAGTAGCTTATAATTAGCTGATAAAATTTCTATATGATTTAAAGACATATTGCCTATGTTATTATAATGAACTTGGATTATAAAATTATATATTTTAATTATTTAAGTAAGATAATTAGCTTATAATTAAATGTGAAAATATGCTTATCACCTAAATATGAAATTCTTCCTATAATTTTTTTAATAGTCCCTTAAATTTGCTGGTAATCAATTAGATAATTTGCATGGTAAACATTTCTAAATCAATTTAAACGGAATTTAGTGAAATCTGTTTGTGATATAAATTATACCTGTATACTATGTGATCTTAAATTAGCAATTTAATTGTTTTCAATGTGTCACTGCAAAATGTTCTTTTTAAAGATGCTTGTAAAGGTGATTAATTTCTTTTTTTATTTGAAAATAATTAAAGACGTTATTTAATGTTTTTAGAGTTTCAGATTTTATCACAGACCTTATCAGTAAGTTTTTTTGGGTCTAATTTTGTCACATCCCAAGTTATTTGCTACTTAACCAAGAGGAAATGCAAAGGCTTTAGTATTCCCATATCACCATTCTACTCAACTAAACTCCTACTGGGCAGTGCGACACATAGCGTTTCAAATAATTTGAGAAACTAGGCTAGATTTTGAGTCCACTTACCTTTAATTGTGTGGTTTGTTTTCTTTTTTAAATGGAAGTAACTCTTTCACTTGTAACATATGCAGTGTGCCCTTCCTATTTTCCTTGGATTTTTTATGTTTATTCTATGATTTTATCCAATTTTTTATTGAGGTTGACTGGAAAACGACTGTAATGACGTTTTCAAAATTGGATAGCGTTTGGTGTTAGGTGTTGGAAAAACCCACTGAGATGCTTATAATAGCATAAAGGTCTTGAGTCAAAAAGCAATATAGTCGCGCAAGTCGTACAGTACATGATAAAAAAAAAGGTCAACAATTAATTTGAAAATTAGAAAAATCACAAATTCGGTGGTACAGTTATTATAAGAATAATATCGTTTCATACATTTTTTATTGCCAGTATGTTATTGTATGAAACGAATTACCAGGAACCGTAAATACAAGTACATTTTGCTAAGGGTCGTCACACCTGTTTGCACCCAGCTGATAGTGACGCATGCAAGAATGTTCAATGTTGTAGTGTAATAAATCAATTACTTGACAGGCTGCCTTATACAGTATACATTGATTGAATGTTTAAATACAATAAAAAATGTATATAACTGCAGTGAACAAACTTTAGAATGTCAGCTCAGCATTCAAAAAGATCTCTTTGTACTAGTATAGCCAAATGTACATGTCATCAAATAGAATTAAAGCAGTGATATATCTAGGGGCATTAACTCAGGCACCCATACCCACTGGCAATTTCAGAAGAAAAAAAAACTACTCTCAAGTAGTCAAAAACTACCCTAGGCGTATTTTTATGACTTTTTCAGCATAAGCCTTAGTACCCAACCTGTGAACAAATTGCTGCTCATATTCCTACAAAATGAAGTGTGCGATCATAATGAAGACAAGGAGATGATCCTGATGATTATGTATAAATATGTGTGTCTGGGAGTGAAGAGTTGTGTGCATCATGAATATTTGTGTTCAAAGAAATACAATATACAGTAAACCATTTTGTGTCAGTGCTTCGACATTTTTATTTTTAAATGGTGAAAATGACAATAATGATAGATATCTTGATTCTATATTCACCCAGAGTATACCACTTCATAAAGACATAAATATGGGGTATTACTGGAAACACTAACTCTAGTAAACAAATTAATTCAATTAATTATAATCAAAACACCAAATTATGAATAATTTTTTCAAATGACAGAATATGTAAAAGAATAGCAGGACCTTATATTTTGCAAAGTATGTTTTTGACTGCATCCTTAGTCTATGATAATTGATCAAATAAATGATAACAATTTTAAGAAGTCAAGTGGCCGAGTGTTTGCCATAAATTTATGTTGTGTTTGTTAATGTCAATTGACCTTCATATTGGCATGCTCACTTCAAACTACGAAATTGCTTTTATATTTATTTATTAACTTTTGATTAAACACAGAGGGCCACACCCAAACTTTGATGTTTCCAGTAAGCTTCCAAAAACCTCCAAGAACTGCTTTTACATCACTTGTATCCTAAATATGTATTTCATTTGTTTCTTTCACACCCAACAGCAAGCACAGGACAAAATAATACTTTATAAACTTAGTCATATAATGGGGCTTTGGGAGTGGAGTTATTTTTATGTTAATTTCTGTGTAAAAATCATTCATAAATGTATTTTTCCCAGATGAAAAATTTTAAAATTGAAATGTATAGTATTATGTTATATATCAAAGGTCAAAATATAGGTACACTAGGAGTAAGATGGATACTAAATTATAGATTAAGAATATAATGTCCAGAGGTTTGCATGTAGCGTAAAAGGGGTACAAGTATATTGTGGCATAGGGGGAGGGGGGAGGGATCCAGCCTATCGGACAGGGGGTTCAATTTCCTTCTTACCCCCCAGCTGGCACCACCACTGCCCTGCATTACTATAGTAGGTTGGCTCACATTGTTTATACCGGCAATGCAGTTAGCGATGATAGTGTTCAAGTATTCTAGGATTATTATATACAACAGTATTTGCATTATAAAATGAAATAGAGATGGCAAAAAATCTCTCTGCCTTTTAACAGCCTTTTGAGCATCTAGGATCATCATAATAATAGTGTTTAGGGAACAACATTCATCCTTGAGGTTCTTAATTTGCTTATCCTTCTCTTGATTAATATCCTGACTACTATCCAATTTTATTTTAAGGTGCTCTTTTTCTAACCTTTCCTCTCTTAATGATTTTTCAAGTTCTTCTACTTTATTGCGAAGTATTTTATTTTTCTCATTTTTCTTGCTTATCAATTCTTCCCTCTACTCAATTTCACTTCCTTGGGATATTAACAATTTGTTCTTTTCTTTAATAACATGTTTTAATTCCTCATTTTCTTGCATTACTTGACACTCATCTTGAATATTTGGTTGATTGTCCCTTTTCTCTTCTTCAGTGCAATTCATTTTTTTCTTTCTGTTGTAGTTATTCACTTTCTTTGCTTGTGTTGTCATCAGCTATTATCACTACTACAATAGTTGTTCTTGATATTATTCTACAAATTCTATGGGGAAAAAAATTGTGAAATTAGTCCGAACTAATACTGTAACAGTTGTGTTAATTAATAATTAATGATAATAATTAATTGTGTCTTGTGTCTACTTATATTAATATTATATTTTTTAATTCATTCCGTATGAAAAATTGTGATAAGAAATATATAACCCTTTATTTTCCACAGAATATATACCTTATACCATCTACAATATTAATAATATTATATTTGAGTTAATTTTTGGTTTTTATTTTTTTCAAGTTATAATACGTTCAACAACATGATACCTACTGCACTGTATAGACATTTGGAAATCTCTTACCTTGTTCAAGAATTCTATAGTCTTTTGAGGATAAATGTGTATAATTTTCCACTTTCAGTATATAAAGCATGTATCCTTCCCTATATTCTCTTTTTAAGAAATAATCTGTAGGCAAAATTTAAACTGAAATTGAATGAAGAATGACGTTTACACAAAGTAGGCTGCACTGAATTACGTTGGACATGGAAAATCCTATTAATGATGGAAATAGCACTGAAATGTCAGGTGCATAATAGAAAAACAATCGAAAGCAACACATTGTTTATACGGTGAACCTGATTGGGTACATCAGAGGAAATCAATAGGATTATTTAAACATTTAAATAAGTATAAATCTGTGTGACTATTTGTTGGTTATAATGTTCTCCCAAGTACACACCCGCCAGCAGCGATGCCTGCCATTTAACTTTGTGCGATACTCTAATAATTGAAGTTAGTACCAGAAGAAGATGATGATGATGATGACCTGATTACTGTCATTATGCAGTTTACTTCACAAAGATGAAAGTTCATGAGATTGTGAGTTTCTACCTATCTAGTTTATACATCATCAAGTGGTGCCTGTGACTGATGTCGTAACTGGTCACATACTGCGCCAATGATCGTCAGCCAACGTTCTTCCGTGGAGAATCCAACATGACAAGGTACATACAGCGGATAATTGTTAAAGATATTCTCTCAGTCTACAAATGAGAGCGGAGATATTTAGTCCTCTCTCTTTAAATCTTACTCCTCCTGTTACTAATGCTATTTTAGTAATAATTATAGATTTATTATAGATTGTAATAGTTACCATTTATTCTTGCATATAAGGTGATCCGCATATAAATGCCAACTCAGACAGCAACGTATGATGCAACATGTTTATTATTTCTCACGGCAGCTAAGAGTGTCCCCAACATCGTATGACACTGAGTTGACCTTAAGACGACCCTTGAGTTTGAGAAGATTTTTGGACGATTTTTGTATGTTGGGCATATAAGATAATTACTATTTCATTGTTGGAATTCCTCCTTTCGATACGATCCACTCGGACCAAACACACATTTAGTTTTCAAATTGCCATATAAGTCCAAGGTTTAGGCATGGTAAAGTTATGGGTTTTATTTTATCAGAATTTAAAAAGCATTAATTAAAACTTAACTGAAAAATTAAACAACAGCAAATAGTAGAATTTTGTGGATGCGTGGTATGTCTAATCATGGTTACATTCTGTGAAAAGTGCAGCGCTGTGCAAGGTATTAGCACGTTCACATGAGAATTCACATGATTACCGGTTTAAGCTCTTTTCATTGGTTATTATGGAACTTTTGATTGCATAATGACAGTAGGACTTACAACGAAAAGATGTCACTAAGAAGTCATCCGCACATTGGATTTTCATTGTCGCCTTGATTCTAGGACGCATTAATGTAGAATGGTCACGGATGAGTGAATCTGTTCTACCATCACATTGTTGCGCAAATTGAAAGCCCATATTTATGATTGGGAAAAACAGCCAGGTTCTACCAGCTGGGCAACACTAGGTTGGTTAGACTTACTGCATGACTTTGTAATTGACAAGGAGAATATGTGCACTGTTACCTTGGATTGAGTTTTTGGTCCACCTGACCAGGTACACATACTGATTTTATAATTGATGTGTTAATGCAAGCGTAATGTTGATTTAAAAAAAGAAATAATTTTACTAAAGAAGGTTGCAGATAAAACTACTGTACAATATAATAGAATACTATAATTCATTAATTTAAATGTCAAAATTTAAATTTATTTTTATAATGTCATAAATCTAATTTTTTTTATTTTTATTTTTATTTTTTTTGCTATACCAAAGTACTGCTTACTTAAATTCAAATTAATTTACAACAGTGTTTGCATATAATATAATAGAATACTATAATTCATTAATTTAAATGTCAAAATTTAAATTTATTTTTATAATGTCATAAATCTAATAATTTTTATTTTTATTTATTTTTTTTTTGGATATACCAGAGTACTACTGCTCACTTAAATTCAAATTAATTTACAACAGTGTTTCCATATATTTTTAAATTTAAAAAAAATATATATTTTTAATAACAAAAAAAAATAGATTTTAATTGATGTGATGCTGATGTACATAAATTAAAATGGCAAAATGTAAATTATTTACATTTCAACAATTTGGAATTTTTATCATTTTTAAACTTTAAAAATTTTATTTTAATTGATGAGCCAACAGTCTACTAAAACATCTTAAACTCCTTAATAAAATACTGTACTAATGTGCATAAATCAAAATGGCAAAATGCGAATTTATTTACATTTCAGCAATTCAGAATATTTTTTACCATTTTAAATTTATATCTCTCATAAATAAAATCAATTAAATGAAATAATAGTAAATAGCAAATTCAGATGAGCCAACAGTTTATCTTATACCAAATACCAATACTATTATGTACTTAAATTAAAATGGCAAACAATTATGGAAGTATAGTAACAAGGAAATGACAATTGTAATTACAATGAGCCAGTAGGCTACTGTCTTACATCACTTATTAGAATATTATTGTATACTTCCATTAAAATCTCAAAATGTGTAATTATTTACATCTTAAGGCAGTATTTTATACATTTTTATATTCCACGGCAGCAAAAACCTCTTATACTACATACCTCAAAACTGGAAAATGCATGAAATATAACTGATTTAACAACAATATGTTTGTTTATGTATTATATTATATATAAAATGACTTCAGTATCCACTATAAGCAGTACTTATAGTTTGATGTTAAAAGTAAATATATTTATCTTCTTTCAACATTTCTAACCTGTGTATGAAAATACCATGTTCTCTTTATGGCAGTACTGCTATGTACAAATTATCTGTATTTGTAGTAATATGATTATGTGCAGATTGAAAGTAGCTGATATAAAAACATAATTGGAACATTTCTGCATGCAAGGAGCACATTATGGACCTGAGAATGTGGGGTGGTATCAGAGTTAGAATACAGATTTAATTGTGTTACTGATTGAAAGGCTATTATTAGCACTTTAAAGAAGTTGCCTTGCATTAGAGGGGTCTCAGCATTTGACTGGGTTTTAGTTGAAATGTTTGTAGAAAGTATATTACAGTAATTCAAAAATATTTACATTGTCTGGAAACGATGCTATATATAGAGAATACTAAAAAATACAATTAGCAAAAATATACTTTACATAAAACTCACTTTCTAAATTAAAAATTATTAGCATACTATGCAAACACAAAAAAATGTTTAATTCAGTCTTTTATTGTGGCAAAAGCCTTCAAGGGCTATAGTATATCTACCAAAAAAATAGAGTAGACATCAATGTGATTGCGAGCACGTATGTTCCCAGTAAATTAAATAATAATAGAGACATTGATAAAATCAAATGAAACGGTTGACGTATTGGAGGAACATAAGTATTTTATTGCACACGAATATTTCGTCCTGTCCTCAGAACTTTCTCAACGTGAATATATATAGAAAAAAAAATATATAAGATAATGCAAAAATATAAATTGTATTCCGAAAGGAAGTATTCATCTTGGGTAGGGATGTTACCTCACTAAGATCATAGTGACCCACATAACCCACCCAAATCAAACTCTGCATTAAACTGTACACACATAAATATTTATAAAATTAAGTATAATTCAAAGATGTTTCCATCCTTCGCTGATTTAGGGATGGATTTTAAAGTACTGACAATTAACGCCATTTTACTTTTTGTATGTTGTTCATATACATTAAATTTGCATGCACGTCAACTGAAATGGTTTCAGATTTGTGGCCAAGTAACCATGAATTAAGCTAGATGCAAATCCATCACAATCATAAATACTCATGTGTAAATGTGTTAGGTAATGATGTAATAAACATATATTGCAAATGAAAATAGATCCCACACCATGTTTTAATATGTGAAAATCAACTGAGTGTTACCTTTTCATCTTCTGTACTCTTTGTTAGTAACCGGGGCCCCGAAAGAGACAATTCTGAATAATTCTGAATGAATATGCATGGAGCTATAGTAGTAGATTACAAATATAGTGCAGGAGTTGTTAGTTTGGAGGAAATGTGTAGTAGCAATAATGTAGCCAGTGATCTGACAATTTGGGTTGTAAAGAATAATATATGAGTAATCAGCAATATTAGTATTGAACATTAAGTACCCAGAAATATATGTGAATGTAAAAAGAGTGTTAGATCTTTTTATTTTCTGTTCTCTTTGGACCCAAAAGAAGAATTTTTTCTGACTTAGTAGGTTCTGACTCAATATGTATGAAGCTATAGTGGTGGGATATAAATACATGGCATGATTCATCAGTTTGGATGATATGCGTAGTAGCACTAACTTGGCACTGACAGTTTTTTTGGGTTGGGGCAAAGAATAATATATGAATAAGCAAGTATAGTATTATTACACATAAAAAAGCCTGATCTTTATAAGATTTTTTAAACTTAGCTTCCAGCTCATTGTTTCTAATATCCCTTTTTTCTGAATCACTCTTCATTTCTCTTAAACTTTCCTTAAGGTTTTCATTACGCATATCTTTCTGTTGATTGTCATCCAGACTTGTTCTTAATTGTATTTGAATTTGATCTTTTTCCATTGTTTCAGCTCTTAAAGATTTTTTGAGCTCTTGATTTTCTTCGACAACTGCTGCAAATCTTTTGTTATCCTGACTTATCAAATCCTCTCTTTTCGTAATTTCTTCTCCCAGTTTTATCATGGACATATTCTTTTCTTTCAAAGCACTTTTTAATCCCTCAATTTCTTCACATAAATTTTGTATGATCATTTCATGATCATCTCCATGAGCTTCTGGTTGGGCCGCTCTTCCAGCATTGACACATTTCGCTTCCTCTTCCATTTTGTCTTCCACTTTTCCTTTTATAATGCTATCATTTCCCTCCTCTACCATTTACTTTTTGCCCTTCAACGTTACTCTGCTTGGTTTCACTACAAAGAAATTATCTATGAACAATTATTTTAATTTTTTCAGTGATTCCTCAAAAAGCTATGATAAAAAAGATAATTTTTTTAATTTTAAAAATAGGTTCAAATCTTTTTCATTTAATAAAGTAATGGAACCATATATTATATATATGAACCATTAAATATATTTACTGCATACTGGACAAGATTCTTTAAGCATGCTGACAATGTCATAAAATGATACACAATGATTTTCTTAAATCACTACTAAAATCTTTATTTAGAATAAAACAATCTACAATAGAATCCCTCCTTTTGAGACACTCCTATTAAGTGGACACTACTATTAAGAGGACACTTTTTTCATCACGAAACCAGGGAAAGTATATATTTTAATACTAACCACTATTCAGTGGACACCTTCGGGACCAAAAAGATGTCCCCTTAATAGGGGTGTTCCCTTTAATAGGGAATCTACTGTATTTGAAACTCTCATCTGAACTGTTCATGTGGTGTACCGCAAGATTTCATGCTATTAAATTCTATTACCGGTAGTTATTTATTGAATACCATAAGATCAATATCATTGTGTATGTATTGTTTCATGGTCGGGATCCTTCAGGAATATATTCCAGTAGGAATTTAGATTATATTTTATTTATTTATTTTATTTATATTTGTATTGTTTTCTGAATGTATGCACAAACATAATAAAATGTATCATACCAAGCATTAGAAAACAGTTGTGAGACTAGGCTGAATATTTGAAGTTCACTTACCTTGTGTTTTTTTTTTTTTTTACAAGAAACAAGTAACACTTTCGTTATCAACAACACATCACATCCTTCCTATTTTCCTTGGTTTTTATATGTTTACACAATCTTTTTATTCAATTTCCTATGAAGGTTTACAGACAAAAATGAATGACGTTAAATGAATTATTGTTCAGTTTGGTGTTGGGAAAAACCAGTAGCTATTAATAGTGAAATTTGAGTGACCTATTTGGCAATATCAATCCAGGGCGCTATAAAATACCTCCCTGATCAATCAAATAAAAAAAGACTGGGTTAATAAATTTGATGCTAAATTGAGAGGAACATTTAAAGGTCAAAATCAGGCTGGGCTACTAAAGTGTAGCACTGTAAGTTTTATCATGTTAAAGGCAGAATAAATACATAAGTATACTTGCCAATAAAACTGATAAATATCAAGTTTCCTTGTGGAACTTACCTCTAAATATAGTGGAATTGCCCATCTTGCTGGCTTATAATACTGTACCTGGATGAAATCATGAATATTCAATATGAGATTCACTGAATAGAATCCAATATAAACAAAGAAAGGAATGAGGGGAAAATGAAAATAGCCTTACAAAACCTTAATTTAAATTATTTTTTATTTATTATCTACTTTGTTTCAGTTATTATTGGTTCCATTGTGGCCATTGCATACTGAAGAGTAATATATATTTCTTTGTGTGTGTATGTGATTACTGTGTAATATGACATCGGGTTTCTAAAAAATTCAGATGTCAAATTGAATATTAACTGGTCGTTATTATTTTTGTTATTGATTTGCTGTTGTAATATTATTATTAAATGTTTTATTTATTATTAAATATTGTTAGTATTGCTATATTGTATATATCTATATTAATAGTAAGATTATATGCATTATGGTATTGTAATTATTGTTATTACTATATTATATTCATTAATATATTATATTTTATATGGTTATTATTATATGTAATTATTGTTGTTTCCATTGTGATTTATTGTTAATATTTTTTGATGTCACAGTTAGGTAAATTGCTTTATTTGTTTTTCCAAAAGGACAAAGTGAAAGATGGGAAAACAAAATCCCAAAACCCGGAAGAGGGTAGAAATGCATCCTCTTCCAAAGGCGACCACTCATCAGTTGCTATGGGAACGTCCTCTACAATGACCCAGGTCCTCGGAGATCCAGATGATGATCTGACTCTAAGAGCTGCCATGTATGGTGTTCTCTTCCAAGCTTTAGCTGATAAGGCAAGTACAATTATGTGTATATATAATATGTTATAATTTTCTCTAACTTTCTGATTGCAAGGTTTGAGTCCATGGCAGTTTGTTTTAGTCTTTAGGCAAGGAACTTTATTCTATTCTCTTCCCCAAGGAAAAATATGAGCACTGTAGTAGTATGTTATATTACTATTGGAGTGTATTGGAC